TTGTCCAGACCTAGTTTCTTTGGCAGGTGACTAGATCTCCCTTGTGATCTGTCAGATAAGAAGATGGGGCCGTTGACCGTTCACAGGTTTGCCCGAGTCAATGCCAGATAGCGGGATGGCGCCATTCCTTCACCACTCCTTGGCTTACAATATCGGAGACTTGCTGCCTTCTGGTTTTGTGGCTTTGGAGCCGTGATAATTTACGATTGATATATCGAATTTGGGTGTAATTCCCTCTTCCGGATATTACGCCACGAGAGGCTAAACCTTCCAAACTGTTGCACTTAAAATCTTGGCACTACTTACAGGCGGGCCTACCGGGTATCTATGCTCGATTACTGTACGGTACACGACTGCTATGTGTTGCCCATTACCAATCACATGCGGAACGGCCTACTGGTTCTCCGAAGAATCCCAGGATATGGTCGGGGATAGTCCAGGCTTGTTCAGTCTATGAATCGCGCTAACAGGCTGTGATACTAGACCGGATTCAGGTCGCCAGAATCACGATGCCGTACCGGTACCTGCGCAATAAAGACTAGGTGTAACCTTGAAAGCAACTGTACGCGAACTACCTTCACATGCACCCCAGGAACCGGATGTCTCGCAGCCGCACGTTCTGCGCAGCGTGTTACGATGGTGTCCTCATTAAAATCCCTGAGCATTCGTGGCGTCAACCGCTGGAGCAATATTGGCCAAGAGCTGATGAATCTCTTGTGAATGACTATGGTACTTTCTCTGTTGTCTTGCGATCGGCTATGCACACCCATCGCCCCCGAATGAGAACCGAGACGGCTCGTTTCACCCTTGAGACCACTATGATCAGCCAATGGATGTTGCTCATGCGAATCGCGAATGTTCTGCAACAGCGTCGGAACTCAATCCTTTACGGGCAGGTTCTGAAGATGGGAAGTTATGCAGGCATCTTCCTACCTTGATCACGTCCGGAGCATCGTCCTCCAATAGTCGAACAGCTATGGCCATACCTCTACGCCTAAGATTGATTACGCGGCAGCACCCGTTGTTTGAAGACCCCTACTCTGGTATAAAGGCATGTAATGCGTTGTGGCCTGAGTATTGAAGTTATATAGAGTCAGGCGTGTGCGCATATCTCTCCTAAAGCACAGCTAGACATCATCCACAATCTTCACAATGGCTGTCCTCAAAAATTCCCGGCCGGCGAATGCAGATTCGGTCAATAACAGCCTCCTCAGTCAGTTTGGAACCGGCCCAATACTTCCAGTACCTCACCATGTTGTCCACGAGGCTTTCGAGAGCATTGTCGACACCTATCCTGCTGCAATTGCTGCCAAATTTGGGGATGCCACAATCACATATCGTCAATTGGATATTGCGGCCAACCGCCTCGCTCATGTTCTGATCGACTCTGGATTGAAACCAAGGCAGCGGGTCTGCCTGGTTGTGCAACGCTCCTTTGAGATGCTCACTGGCATCCTGGCTATCTTGAAGGCAGGATGTCAGTACGTGCCCATCGACGGCGGCGTTGCTTCGGAACAGGCAATGAGGCACATCTTCAGAGACACGGACGCTCGATACATTCTTTGTCTACCGCGATTCTCAGACAAGGTCCGAGAATGTGCCGGGGGGAACGCCATCATACTTGCTCTCGATGGCGATACAGGCGCAGATGCCCGCACAGAGAGACCGAGAGTCACAGTTACAGCAAGAGATGGTGCATATGCCATTTATACTTCAGGTGAGAACACGCCATGTATAAAAGTGCACCTAGGACACTGCTAATTTGCATCACAGGAAGTACGGGAATGCCCAAAGGAGTTGACGTTTCTCATGGAAACGTCACCAATGCTCTTACCCTGGAACCGGCGAAACTTGGAATCAGGGTTGGTTCAAAAGTGGCGCAAGTGCTGAGCATCGCCTTCGACATGGGTTAGTGTGTTCGTCTAACGGCAGGAAACAAAGCTTATGATCATCAGGTGCTTGGGAAATTCTCGGCTGTATTATGAACGGCGGAACTTTATACCTCAGGGGATCTGATTGGCGGGCTACGCTACGAGAGGTAAAATGTTTGTTTGACGATTTAATACGCTACTTGACTAACCAATGCCAAGGTCGACACTTTCATCTCAACACCATCCATTCTATCCAAGTACACGCGGTCAGATTTGCCCAATCTGCGTACTATTGTCACTGGTGGAGAGCCATGTCCTCAAGTGTATGCAGAAATGTTAACGTGCCTTTAATGACTCGATTCTAACCTTCTGATAGACTAGCCGATGAGTGGGCGCAAGGTACTTGCTACTATAACATTTGCGGCCCGACGGAAATTACCATTCTCAATTCAGCCCACCGACACGTCTCCGGCAGGTCTATCTCGATTGGACGACCTCTACCGAACACAACATGCTACATTCTAGATGAAAACGAACAGCTTGTGCCGTTTGGCGAAAAAGGTGTGATGTGGGTTGGTGGTGCGGGCGTCACACGTGGCTACATTAACTTGCCTGAATTGACATCACAACGATACAAAAAAGACAAATTCGCCAATGATGGGTCAGCGTTCTCATTTCAATGCACAGACTAGTACTAACAAACGGCCAGCTCCATAATGTTCAACACTGGCGACATTGTGCGCTGGAGGGAGGATGGCTCACTGGAGACCTTTGGCCGTATGGACGATCAGGTCAAGATCAAGGTAAATGCAAGTGCCGAAAGCTTGAAACGTAGGCTAACACTAGCAGGGCTTCCGCGTGGAGCTGGATGGCGTTTCTGCGGTCATCGAGGTACTATCTGGCTCGAACTTCTCCAGCTTTGCGGCCAGACTGACAAAATTTAGAAATTCCCGGGCATCACACGTGCTGCGGCTATGGTTGTCGATGCAGATCTGCATGGGTTCTATACTGCGGAAACGCTCATTGATGAGCAGGACGTGGAAACCTTTGCTCAGCAACATCTGCCCTATTACTCTGTGCCAAAATATTGGCATTTTGCTCCCGCTATCCCGCTGACGCCAAACGGTAAAGTCGACAAGAAAGCTCTCAGGGAATTGGCCCTCAGGGACTTGTCTACAACGGACAGTAGAGCGGATTCAGGTGCACAAGTCGACATGACAGTGCCCAACCTACCAGCGCCCCCACAGGCACATCAACCGAAGATGAGTGCATGGCCATTGACTGGAGACCCTGAGAAGGGACATCTCAGCGAGTTGGGTAAACCTGTGGAGGTGGTTGTATCTTCTCGATCATCCAGCGTCGACGAGGTTCCTGATACACTGCCGCCAAAGCGCGGCATGCACGGTCAACGATGGGTTCGCCACCGACTCTTCATCTGAGAAGTTTTTTCGCTGTTGT